TTCCCCACCCCTCGACTTTCTGCTACTTTGATGAATCTTCCCTCTGTGAAGCCCGAAGTCAATTAAAGGGCTAATGATAGCTATCAAAACGCCTGCCCAGGGTGTACCACGTGGAGGTGAGTCTATCGCTCACCACGGAATTAAAAATAGATTTTAAATTTTTTATTGACAAGAGCTTACCGTTGAGCCATTCCAATTTCCTGTATTTTAAAACCTCTGGTGCTTATTCCAGAGACGTCTATTTTCCAATTTGGAAAGTGAAGTTCCCCTTATTCTATCGATTAAGAGTCAATTGCAAAATTTGAACAAACAGGTTGGCATAATGTGCAATTTTACGAGACACACTCCCATTTTAATTCGTAAAATATTATTGAATAACTAACTTGGAAGGAATATAGTATAAAATGGAATTCGAAGCGATTAATAGTAAAACTACTCAAAGAGCCGGTGAGTATATGCCTTAAGGATCACCAGTTAAAAAGTAATGACCTCCCAGAGGTCATTCCTAAATAATAAGACTAGGAGATGAACCACGATTGTAATGGACAGCCGAAAAGGATGAGATGAGAGGTGGGATGTGGAGAAGAGTATTAAATTGGAAGGGCAAGGGACAAGCGTCAACGCTGATCAGGTAACTCCGAATTGCGTTCATGTTCTTTGTTTGTCAGATGAGCGACCAATGGAAAATTAGCGACTGGAAAATAGAACAGCCAAGAATTAGTGAGTTCTTTCTTTCATTGGGCACTCAGTCACACCATATTTGGCTTTTGATAAGTCAAGACGTATATTCGTTTACTTATCGCCTCACATTTGCTAAAAAATATCCTGAGAATTCAAGCAATTCACTAGACTCGATTGGGTACTTTTCAAGAAAAGCTTTCATTGAGCTCTTAATACCCTCAGTTCCTTCCATACGCTTCATAAAACAGAGAAGCAAAGAACCTTGAATTGAATTTCAATATGCATTTAACGCTCCCCAATAACCTGAACTTCTGCATAAGAAGATCATTCTAAATCCGTCAGCACTGACAGATCATGAAAATGTCGGTTGTTACTAATAATACTACTCGGGCATTCACTTGAAATGCCAAAAAAATGGCACATAGCGCTCGTCGAAGACTCGGTAACAAATTAGAGCTGCAATGAAAAGACGCCAATTTTACAATGACGCATCATCGTGTTGAGAAACTCACAGAAAAGTGCAAACGTGATTGACTAATCACAGCTCACCAAACCATCTAACAAGACGCGAGTTTCACTATTAATTTACCACGCTAAAATGGACCCATGTGAAATTTGAAGGCCATTTAACATTTTCAAGGCTCATTTTTTTCTTACAGTGAAACCCCTGTATTCCATCCAAGTCCAAATGCATGATATCTGCTATTTTTAAGCAATTTATTTACATTTAGATACTTACTCTATACCCCCAGGGCTGACAAAGCGGTTCATGATTGGTCATCGTGGGACAGAGCAACTGAAAGTGAATTAAACTCCAATAAGGGGTCCAGGAGAAGTGGGGGGGGGGGAGATTTGGAGCTTAGGGAAGTCTCGTCTCATTTAATCTCTAAATTGGATTGTAGATATTTGCTAACAGTGTAGATCCGCGTTTCGAGGTCAAGTGTTATGATTTGTCTTGGCGTGTACCAACTGCGCGTCTATGATCGATTTTCAATCATAATGGTGGGTATTCTCGCTTCAATTCGTTTTTATTTTCCAAATGCGGAGATAGTTGAGACCGGGTGAGTATACGGTCTAAACGAATATTTGAGAGTGTTTAAGAAAGCAAAAAGTTCTTTTCATTCTGATTGTCGGTGAATATTTCCTCTTGGGAGCTATTTGCGCCCGTTTTGATCTCACCAACTTCGATGAGTCAGCCACTCTCGGATAACTTCTCATTGGGATGTCCTCAATCACTATACCTAAATGTTCACAGGAAGAAGGGAGACCTTTGTTCAAAACAAAGGAAACTCGGTAACTGGATGTTGGGATAGTTTCACCCTAGACTGTGTGAAAAGCCCTCTTCTTTAACAATATAAACAAAGGAATCAATACTACACTTGTGGGGTGAAGGGAGGCAATGGAGCCAAGGTCGTTTGTGTACAATCAGCATGAGTGCTGTTAGAGTATTGGTTTGAGTCATATAAGCCAAATGCCCATTGTAAGTACAGCGTTCTGCGTAGACACTTATAAAATGTCTGAGAAAAAAATATCCTACCCTACCCTATATTAAAACCTAATTTCAACTTATAATTAAGTATTTGTGGGGTCTTGCGTTTATTTGCCGAATCATAGCATTTTTGAATCGAGTTGAGCTTTAACAAACCCTTGTAGCGGATTGCTACGCTAGTAAAGCCTGACTAACTCAGAAATCTCTATGGCAGATTCTCCAACATCTAGCTAGACTCCCAGAACCAGCTAAACACCTTAGTAAAGCCTGACTGACTCAGAAATCTCGATGGCAAGATTTCCAACATCTAGCTAGACTCCCAGAACAAGCTAAGCTATAGCCTAGCTATAAGGGAAACTCATCTAGCTAGACTCCCAGAACCAGCTAAGCTGTAGCCCAACTATAAAGGAAACAGACGTGTACCACGGAGAACGTTTGTCCAGCGAGTATATTGCAGATAAAGTGTACACGCAGGGAGCTACTCATGATCAGGATGGAGGATTAGGTTAAACAAACAGAGGTTGATGATTGGTCACTGTTTGTACGGTCGCTGCACACAGAGTTGTACGGCCGCACCTCCCAATCCTGGCATGTAGGCATACGATGATGCACACGGCGATAACGCGACCCACACCCTAATTGATCCCTTATCATACGTGTTCTCTAATAAATGGTTTTCAAACCTCATATAATGCTATAAGCTTGGCATGCTTTACAAAATCAAATATCTAAAGGTCCTCATAGGAACTGCTTTGTCAGTTCATGCTGTACATTCCAGCCAACTTAGAGCTTCGTGGCATGCAGACACACACACGAACACAATAAGAGGTCAAAATGTCTACAATTGAGAATGTTTTTGTAAAAGTGACGTAAAGATGTGGTTGTTATGCTATGGATATTTCAGTTTAGAATTATGTTTGAATTTTATATCGACCACTTATTTCCCCATATATATATATATATATATATATATATAGTATGCGTCTAACTATTCAACTCGTGGCTGAAGAGCAAGAACATAACAAAAATAATCACGTTTTGACGAATAGCATTCAAAGACAATGACTACAAAATGGATGAACAGAAAAGAGTAACGACTCCGGAGTTTCCTATACCAGCCTTGGAGCCACCCCAACCGCATGATTAAGGGCTTAAAGACTAGAACGAGACCAAAACCAGCCAGAAGTCTAGTTATCGATTTGTTTGATCTCAGAGTGTACTAAGTTTTCTAAACGTTACTCCAATGGCCGATTTTCAGGTAACATAAGTAGCCCTCCCCCCGACCATCCTCCAAATAGGCGCCACCATTCCCACAGTTGGGACTCGGTGTATTGATTATCCAACATTTCGCCCACCGCTACCGAGACCTAAACTTATATGGAAGACAATTTCGGTAAAGACACCCACCCCCCCCCCCCCCCCCCCCCTAAGACAATTAGGCGATAAAAATCCCTATTGAAAAAGAGAAGTCAGGTAATAAGCTAAACGAAGTGCAATAAAACAATATATCAGAATACAAAGATATACAAAAGGGAGAGAGAGAAAGAGAGCGAGAGGAAAAGGGAGAGAAACTGTACGACATTACCCTATTATCACCAGCATCATAATTGTATAACACACTGTATAAATAAAAGTGAGATAAAAGAGAAAGGAAAAGAAAAACACGAATTAAATGTATGTACAAAAGCTGTTGTGCGATTCATAAAATACGAAGGTGGGACTTAAACCCATTTCGTTGGAGAAAAATGCGAAGGGACAGGAGACAGCGAGAGAAAAAACCCTCATTGACTTGTTGTAGCTGTGGGTAATGCTGCTGCTGTTAGAGCAGCTTGCAATAACTCAGTTAATCTGCATTCTGTATTCGATTGCGCCTGAGTAGCATCCATTGCACGCAATAAACCCATCAAGTCCGAACCAAAAAGAGGCGTCTGATTAGCCACAAGCTGACGTTGTGGGGAAGTCGACACCTCTACAGCCTGATTGTCCTGGCTTCGAATAAGAATGGGGTTTTGAACTACAGGTGCATGCATGACTGTTAGAGCGACGTAGATGGTATTCCCACAGGTTAGAAGGGTCGGGACAGTTGCTGATTGAGTACAGGAGATAATGGCCTGCTGCCCAATTTCAGATTGAAGTGGCGTGAGGAGGATACAAGGTTTAGACGATGCCGACGCCGACACATTTTGTTCCCTACCTCCAGTTTCAAATTGCTGCTGAAGGTGCTGTTGAAGTTGATTTTGTAACTGTGCTTGCTGCTGATTCTGCTGTTGTTGAGCAGTCGCCTGATTTAAAAGTTTATGAAGGGTTGCTAGAGTTTCGGCTGTTCTTTGCTGGGCAGAAGTTACCTCAGTGTTTTGAACAATGCTGGAGGAAGAAACAGTAGGGGGAACGGTATTCTCATGGTTAGGCGTGAGCTGTTGAGCAGGAGATGGTGTACGAGAGGGAGGCGATGAAGTTGATAGACATGGAGATGATCGACTATTCTGAGCATCAGCACCGGCAGCAGGTAGTTTAGGCGATATCTTAGCCGGAGCAATTTTGAGAAACTTTGATGGTTGTTTAGCTAATCGAGGAGGACGAATATCGGGAATGGATAACTTTAACTTGAAATTAGAAGAGTTAGAAGATGAAAGAAAGGGTGAAGAAGAATTAGTCGAAGACGGGCTTGGGGGTTCGGGCTTTAATTTTAGCGGAGATGGAAGGCGCGGTTCCACAGTTGAAGAAGACAACTGACCAGAATTAGGTATGGAAATAGATAAGCGCGCGGAAGAAGAGAGGACAGGATTTGCAGACATTGAGGAAGTGTGAGGAGGAACTTGAGTTGGAAGTGATAAATCATTGTCGTAGTCTTCGTCTATATCCATATCAACACGAGGTGAAACTGCTGTACCATTGCAGCATTGGGCATGACGTTGTCTAGGTTGGTACTTGTAAGTGGGAAATTCCTTATTATGAATTTTTGACAAACGTGAAGCCTCCTCATCATAAGCAGCACGAATCTCTCTTGGAATTTTACTCCATGCCTGACCCAAAAGGCGACTAATATTCGAACTAGATGCCGTTTCGAAAATTGCGAGGACGTTTCGGCGAATATGCTGAGCGAATATCTACAAAAAATAAACCATGAGTGAAAGTGGTATACAGTTTAAAACCAAAAAAACATGAAAACTAGACACTTGCCATGAAGCTATTCAAAGGTCTAGGAGTGGTTAATTTTCGACGCTTTTTACGAGTTGCAGCAATTGTTGTATAGGGCTTTTTAGCTTCATCTCCTGTCAGCCGTGAAGCTCTATCACTTGGCCATTCAGTTGGAATGGCATGTTCATCAGTCAGGTGATTAATAAATGATTCCACACCATCATCTATTGCAACTACGCACTGTTTACAAGCGTTCATAAAATGTAATGGGCTGTTCAAATCAGTATACTCCATCAGCCACAGAGCCTCGCGAAAACTCAGAGAAGATTAATGCGGCATAAGGTCACCAACAATCAACAGGCTAAATTCTCAAGGTAATACATTATTGACTGCCCAATCATAAAATAAAATATTTTATTCTTTTAATAAAATTAAATAGCTCACCTGATTTAAAATCAAATTTACAATAAAACGGATTTTTATGTTTAATGATGTCCAAAAGCTTACTAATAAATGGTTTGTCAGTGTAATTCTAAATTAATGAGTTCAGTCAATCAAATTAATCTGGCAAGCACTGTGTCACATAAAGTACATAAAATAAAATTTTTGCGTCATAATTTCATGGAATTTCTTACATAGATTCGTGACAGTTTTAACTCTACTGACTTCAAATAGTTTTTAGGAAATAAGTCATTAATTTAAAAAAAATAGTGTTAAAAAATACAATATTTAGATATCAAACAGTACATATACTATAGTTAAAGGGTTTTTTTCCCAACTCTACTGCGTCTTCTTTAATTCAGGCTATTATTATCTCTAGGCATAAAAAGTGTTCTAATATGTATTTCGAAATTTCTGTTGCCATTATTTCCTGATATCATTTATTTAAGTTTCCAAAGCTAGAAATTAGACTACAATCATTATCAGTTTCGCTTAATATTGTCTGAAGTCGATTTATTTATTTGTTTATATGTGGCGTTACTTGTGAGCTTAGTTTTAAACTTTAAAAAAGATATTAACTTTACGTCGTTGAATAAACTAAATTAGCGATTTCCTTGAAGTTTGCTATATTTTTCCTTATTCATAAATATTTTGCTTGTGCTTTTAACGGGTGGGGGGGGGGGGGCGATTTTTTCCATTTTACTTTAGGAACGCAAATATTCCATTTAATGTGCTTTGACTGAATTACGTACAAGTGAGAGCCTTACTGTGAATCTTGAATTACTTACCTCATTACAGATATTTCTTAGAAAAATGCAAATATAGGGATATTGAATATTTTAGACAAAGTACAGTCGAATAGGGGATTTTTGCCAAGTTTCCTGAGATAGTGGGAATAATCCGGCCAAATTAGTCTGTTAGTTGGTATATTTCAGATCCAAATCAGGATTTAAATAAAAATCATGAGAACTAGACTTACGTTTCTGAAAAAATTAAAATATTCATTTTAACTTAATCTTTTAATCATACCATCTCTCCAGGAACAAAACGCCCATTCTTTAACCTCTATATTATCATTATATGACACAATAATTTAAGATTATTTAAAAATGCCAATAATGCGATTAGCATGCAGATTAAAAAAACTTCGTTTTGAGATCAAAGTATATTTATGATAGCATAACTAATTTTACCCTAAAGCAAAACGAGTAAAATGAGTCAAATTTTTAAGAAATGGAATCAAAACTTAAGTACTTTGGTTCTTTGCTTCTAAGTGCAAATTTGCACGAGCTTGTTTTGAAATGATTTCTTAAACAGATGTATACGGATTATATGAGAAGTGAAATTCTACATCTGCCGTCTATTATACACTTCTATCACAAACATTGCCTCACCTCCCTTAAAATTAATTTTTGTAAATTAATTTTATTTGAATCATGCATAAACATATAAATTATATTCATTAAAAGTTTTGAATAATTCTAGGAATATATAGGATAGTTTAATTTTTTATGAGACTAATAATTGACTCAAGAAACAAAAAAAATAAATTTTTAAATTGATTTCAATTTTATACTTTAATTTTATGTGTCCGTTTAACTACCTGATATGTACATTTCATTTTTGACTACAAACAAATAGAATTATTAATTAAGTTTGAATTAGCAAAGTAGAATCAAGCAGAAAACCTGACATAAAGAATTATATTTTATACTTTTACGAAATCAAATTTATTCAAGGTCTAACTATGCAAATTCAAAAAATGCTTGAAGTTTTGCAACGAACAAATCTGAGAAGGCTGGCATAGCAGAATGTTAGCTCAATAGTTCATTTGAAATACTAAGCTATATTTTGTCTTTTCAGGTGTTAAAGTGGAAATGCTTTCCAAATGCTTTCGATTTTGGTATTATTAATGTTATTGCAAAGTTCCCTTCCATTGTCGGATCATAGTGCATACGAAGTTATCACATATGAATTTGTAGACAAAACAAATACAACCTGTGTAATCATTGAAATACCAAAAAATTCATCATTTTATATCACGAAACCAGATGAAGTAACTACCACTTATAACTATAAAACTTTAGAATATTTCTATTGCCTTCGATGACCCTACGAAGGGCAGTGGAAAATGTGATCTCAGAAATGGAACCTTTGTAAATATGCCCCTTCAGAATGGATATAATTTGCAATGGCATTGGCTATTCGATCCAGAACCATTCATGGAAATGTTCGGGCAAGGATTCAATACGGTTGGTGCTGAGGAATATCTCCTACATGGAACCTATGCTCTTGCCAATCTTACTGTAACAAATATGGCCACTAAAGAAATTCTTCGCGCTAATACAACGTCGTATTCTGGTTTGTTAAACAGATATTTCTTAACAGGTTGAATTCTTATGTTCCCTTCAATTAAATTATGCTATTTCTGTTATTTGAATCTTAGGAAGTAAAAATGGCTTTTGAGACATTAAATTAAATTTTAATTTTAATTTAATTTAAATTTTCAATCAAAATTTAAATAAGATTTCCTTTAACGCAAACTAAATTTCAGAAGCCTTCCTTCATTTTCCTTCAAACTTTCTATATTGAATAATTGAAAATATTTTCGACGTGATGTTATAAAATTTTATCTTTAAGTCTATACACAAAGCTAATTAGCATAAGTTAATGACTTATTTTCGTGGGTATAATTAATGAACATTACTGCGATTGCACTTGTTCACTTGGCATGTTTAATTCACATTACTAATTCTCTTCCCTATAAACTTGTTAATACACTTGGTTGGTGGGCCCAAGATGAGGCGAGGTCAATTCCTTATGGGCTGAGGTTAATTGGGTTATTACTAAACTCGTCAGAATGATATGACAGATTGCGATCTCAATTTCTGCCATGAATGATGAATTTTTGCTAAACTTGTTTGTTTCCTGATTTCCTAGAAACGAACTGTCTAAATATCCACGTTAAAGCGTATATCAAAAGATAGGGAAAGGCCACAACGCATTTACCATTATTGTCAAATTTTAAATTTAAGACACGATTTAGTCATTTTAATTAATTTGCTACTGATGGAGATGCCTAAAACCAGAAGCACGAATTTTAATTGGATTTTAGTAACTTTAACATTATTTATATCAATCGACCGAGATTGAGGTTATTTATTTAATTTTCACTGATGAAATAAGGGAGATATTTTTTTTTCAACCTATTTAGGCATTTAAACATCTAAGAAACTTGATGTAACAAAAAGGACTTTGTAAATTTTTTCGCCGAAATTAGTTGCGTGATCTAGTTTAGGTGAATTAAGATATAAATTACAAAATAAATGAATGCATACGCTGGAGTTACTTAGTGGCTCAATTTACAATCTACTTAAGTATAAGTGACTTGAGACTTATAATAAAATTTCAATAATCATATCCCCCCACACCCATTTTTTTCGATTTACCTAGCTGTTTATGGGTATTATGATTGAAATAGTCGATTTCATTTGATTATAATTTGAGAGAAAAATTTGACCATAACATAAACTACTATTGAAGCAGTCAAAATAACTAGGTTTAAAAAATTAAGTGGAAAAGAAGCTGTATAAAGTTGCTTGTTCCGAAGGAAAAAAATCAATGAGTTGCTCAGTTTTGAGAAAAAATTTTATTTTAAAATTTTATATTGAGCGAATTCAATCTCTATTGCCCATCTCTTTGGAAAATTAAATAAATATCAAATAAAAGATTAACAATTTAGTTTCAACTTAATTTGTAAGCAATCAGCACGCAACAAAATGTGTTTCAAATTTATTAAATATTCATTAGCTAAGCCGATATCTACATAATTTTTTAAATCCCGCATTATCAAGCTGGCCAAAAAATTGAAATTTACGAAATATTTGAAACCCTTGCTAAGTGTAACGTTATACAAAACTCATACTTATGGAAAAGATTGTCCTGAAACCTTGTAGAACTAAACCCACAACATATCATGTTCATTAACTGGGCAGGTGAATTTTATATTTACCAGTCAAATTGATTTCAACCAAATCTGAGATTTCATCCACACTACATTACAGATAATAATACCAGAAATTTCACATTTCCTTTACAGTAAATTAAGTGATTATTCAACTAAGTAATAATTTTATATATTTACATCTTAACTAAAGGTGTAAAAACTTTGAAGGTTTAATTAATTCAATGAAAAAGGCAGATCGCTGAATTGGAGAGTTAATATTTTTTAACAAATGGCAGGCTTTTTGATAGTTACCATTAGCCCTTTAGTTGACTTCAGGCTTCACAGAGAGGAAGGAACATCAAAGTAACGGAAAGTCGAGGGATGGGGAACAGAAGAGTGATTCACAGATGTAAGTGACAAACAGACGCAATAAGCAGAGAAAATGCAAGATAAGTACTGTGAAAGTGGTTGAAGATAACATACAGTGGGGTGATGACATTTTGTAGTCAGAAGTCAACTGCCAGTTAATAGACTTTTTGCCGTATGAGTAGTCAGAAGTCAACTGCCGGTTAATAGACTTTTTTGTGAAGTCAGAAGTCAACTGCCAGTTAATAGACTTTTTGCCGTATGAGTATACGTTGCCCAGGTTGCACCACGTGGAGGTAACTCTATCGCACACTCCTTGGAGAGTTAATATAACACTGTAAAGGATGATACATTTGAGGATTTCCATAAGGAAATTAGTAGCTCAGAAGCAATAGAGCATAAAACAGATCAGGTGAAATAATTGATTAGAATTTTAAAATTTGGTGTGTGCGATAGACTTACCTCCACGCGGTCAAATACGGGGTGTGCGATAGACTTACCTCCGTGATATATTTAATGAATGGGGTGTGCGATAGACTTACCTCCACGTTGTGCGAAATAGCAATTTGGTGTGTGCGATAGACTTACCTCCACGCGGTCCACCCTGGGCAACGTATACTCATGCGGCAAAAAAGTCTATTAACCGGCATTTGACGTCTGACTTCGAAATATCATGGTCCGACTGCTTGTCATATTCGATCCCTTCCACAGTACTCATCTTGCCTTTTTCTCTACCTTTGTGTCTGTCTGCCTCTTTTACATCTGTGAATCGCTCTTCTGTTTCCCGCCTCTCGACTTTCTGCTACTTTGATGAGCCTTCCCTCTGTGAAGCCCAAAGTCAGCTAAATGGTTAATGATAGCAATCAAAACGCCTGCCATTTGAAATAAATAAATAAATTTTAAAATTTTAATAAAAGTACGTTTTTGGGTATTAAAATTATTTTTTTTCGTTTCGCTCAAATTTCCATTGAAATGCTTGAGAAATATTTTTTTACATGAGTAGTGAATAGGTAATGTCGTAAATATATTTTTATAATGTTCTAAAATAATTTTTTACCAAATCAAAGAAAACACGCTTCAATTTTTTAAACTGTCTTAATCTTACAAATCCTCCATTTATAATATTTTAAATCAAATATTTTACCTTATTCTTTATGCAAATATAGGTGTAACATAAAACGTATTTTAGCAGACATTGAAATTGTCAATTAAGTACAAAATAGCTGGAAAAATCACACCCACTTGATTATTTTTAATCAGGGGGCAGAAGATCGTACGCGGGGAATTAGTTCATTTCCCTCTTCCAACAACTCATTTGTCCGTTTTGTTGTGAAGAAAATTTAAATTCCATTTAGCTGGAACCTTTTTTGATATTATAATATATTCATTTTAAAATGATACATTTTTCGATTCTCTTGCACAAAGCAAGAAACTCAAAAATGGGGGAGGGGGTGAAGGAGCTTCATTTTAACAAAAAGGGAGTTCTAAATTCTACTCATAAAGGAGATAAACTCTCGTTTATGAACTCTTTTGATGAAGTATTTTCTAATATTAATCGGAGATTGATTGGGGTTATTAAAATTCTAGAGTTGTTTCAAATAAAGCCGCCTGATGAGATTTGATTTAATTTGTCCAAAATTAAAGCCCAATTTGGCCTTTGCTTACATAATACCATACAAATGCATATTAGAAAATGCGTTTATTTGTTAAAATTCACATAAAATTCTTATTCGGGATTTAATAGTTTTCTTCGTTTTACGCGAAATGTAATGCTAAACAAGAAATTATAGTAATAAACTGTCCGTTTGAGCAAACTTTTAGCGAAAATCTCGTTTACTTCATGCCCAACCAATTAATTAAGTATATTCAGGAATATGTATTCTTTTAGAGAAAATTTTTTCTAAAATTTAAGTCAAATGGCCGGCGTTTTGATAGTTATAATTAGCTCTTAAGTTGACTTCAGGCTTCACAGGGAGGAGGAGGAACATCAAAGTGAAAAGGTCGAGAGGGAGGGGGGGGGAGGACTGAGGAGTGGTCCAAGGATGTAAAAGAGATAGACACAAAGGTAGAAAAATGGTGAGGTGAGTAATGTGAAAATAGTCAAATATGACATAAGTGGGGTGATGGAAGTTTGAAGTGAGAAGTCAACTACCGGTTAATAGACTTTT